CGAGGGTCCCTGCCCGGGTGGGGACTGTGGCAGTCCCAGCCCGGAGGATGCTGCAAAGGTTCCCTGCCCGGGGGAGCCGCGAGGGCCGTTGGCTGCAGCAGTCTCGAGTGCTCCAGGACGGGCGTTGGTGTGGTTTAACCGCACCCCTAGCGCCGTGCGGGGGTTAAATGCTGCAGGTACCGCAGTGTCGTCTCTGTCTCCCCTCTCAGCACCTCCTGGAACAGTCTGGGAGCGCAGGGAAGAGCTTAAGGGTCGTTTCATAGTGGCTGAGAGGGAATCTGCACCTGCAGGGTTTGTTTGCCCTTCAGTTTTCTAAACGCAGGTGCTGAGTGTTGTGGGTTTTCTGGGTTTATTTATTTGCTTAGCCACAGGATGTCTCTGACCCCTTGTCAGTGCCAACACTGTGGACAACACTCACTGCTCCTGCTTTAAGACCTTCTAGTGAGAGCACCAAACTGTCTCATGCTGATTTCCTGAGGGGATGGTGATGCTTTAGCTCAGCAAGGTTGGGTTTTTGCTCTTATTCGCAGTGAGGCACTGGCACAAGTTCCCCAGAGCAGCTGTGGCTGCTCCATCCCTGGGAGTGTTCCAGGCCAGGATGGATGGGGCTTGGAGCAACCTGGGCTAGTGGAAGGTGTCCCTGCCCACAGCAGAGGGTGGAACTGGATGATCCTTAAGCTCCTTCCAGCCCAAACCATTCTGTGGTTCTATTTCTACACCATGAGCACAGTGGGAGGTCATGTCTACGTATTCAAGCCTGAGATCAGTTTGGTCCTCATGAGAATCTTCTTTTGCCACTGGAATCTAAATCTAAGCAGTGAGTTGTGCGAATGCTTCTCCCTCTGAGCCAAAAGTGCTGAATTATTAAGTTTGGCCCCATTTTGTGTCTTTGGTCAGGAAGTGCATTGGTAGCAGGTGAAAAGGGGATCAGAGGAGCCTCAGTAATTGTGTTTAGGAACGATGAGGAGTTTAATTAGAAGCCAAGCTGAGGGTAATGCTGGTGGGTGGATGAGGAAGGGTAACACTAGGCCCTGTGATGTGGGTTTGTTGTTGTATCTCCTAGTTACAGGGTGTTCTAGCTGAGGCTGCTTAAAGGAGGATCTAGTGCTGAGCTACAGCACATTCCTAGCAGTGGGATAGTTCCCAGAGCTCTGCAACAGGGATTAGGACTCTTCATTTGCAGGAATATTGGTGTTGGTATAACAATTCATGTGGTTCTGTGCAGGAAACTTCACCATGCAAGAAAAAAAAGTAATACTGGAAATCAAGTCTCTTTTGTGGTTTGCTTTTAAATATTAGTTGCTTTCCTGTTTGTTGATTTTATTAATTGTTCTTGTAGCTACTGATGCAGATGGAGGGGAAAAAGCTTGCAGAAGGCAAAGGGGAGTGTGTGTGAAGGACATACTGAGATTGATTTTCTTGGCTCTGTCCTTGTTTTGCATCTAGTTAAGGCAATGAGCTTATTGCTTCAGATAAGATTAGCTTCCAAAATAGTGTAATAATAGGCTTCTGTTGCCTCATAAGGAGAGATTTTGATGCTGAACTGGAAATAGTGCATGGGTTACAAGTCTCCATGTGTGAGCAGCTGTCCCAGGGGAGCACCAGTCACTCACCCAAAGGTGTCCAGTCCCAGCTGGGATTGATCCCTGATCCCTGCACAGGTGCAGGAGTTGTGTCCTCCATGCCAACTGCACTTGGCCTCTGGCTCTGATTTACCCATGCACAGCTTTTGGTGTGTTGTTCCAGGTGTTATCTCCAGAGGGAATCTGCTTACATAACTTCTTCAGGAGGGAGAATATGTCTCATATTTATGTCTAATATGTAATATCCAGTTGAAAGAAATGTCTAATAAACAGAAATATATCTAATACAAAGGACAGTTTTCCAAAATCTTAAACTGAATTTATTGTATTGGGACACTGATTTTTTTCATACACTGAAGTAAGGAGTGACACTAATTTCACTGCAGCACCATGGAAGGTTTCAGTGAGATCACAGAGCCTTAAACTTTGGAGCTGTGCCATTTATTGATCCCTGCAAACACCTGAGTGTCAGGTGAAGGACAAGTTAGCTATGTGTTAGCCAAAACTCTGTTACTGCAGAGCAGTGGAACAACAGAAGTATAAATCATTTCTCTCTACCCAGAGTGTACTTTTCAAAATAACTTAGTGTTTAGCATGTTAAGGACACAAAGGTGGTGTGCAAAACCCTATGGAACTCCTTTCTACTTCCATCACTGTTATAGTGCAATGTGTGCAAGGAATCATGTCCTTCTCATGAAAGGTATCTTCCCCCTCTAAAAAAGGTCAGATTTTAAGTCAGATGTAATCTGTGAAAATTAGAGTGTTCGAGACTTGCTGTCTTCCCAGAAAATCTGTGATTGGAGTGAGGAACTCAAGGTCTTTGATCCTCCACTGCAGAGACTTGGAGTTGCTAATACATCTCTGTTTTGTCCGGGTGACCTCCTCCTCTTGTCATTCTGGGTTGAGTTTCAGCCTTCAGAGCCCTCAAGGATTAATTCCTTGGAAGCTTTGTCTCCCAGATGGATTATCCTTTGCCTTTCCATTGGGTTTGCCTTGCTCCAGAGCAGGCCAAGACTGCAATATATAAAGCAAAAAAGGTAATTTCACAAGACGCAGTGCTATTTTTAGCTCAGGTGAGACACATTGCAGCATGTTGTGGACACTAAATCCTTCTGTGTTTTCCTTCTCTTCATCAAATCTATGGAATCATGTGTTAGAGGTGATTGATGAGTGTCCTATTCCTTTTGAACTAGGACTGGGGAGGAATTCTGTTGTGGACATTACTGCTGGAATACAGTTCATACTTCTTGTGTTTGCTAACCAAACTAGTCTGAAGGTTGAGCTGTGATGGGAATGTCCTGTGGAGGTGTTTGTGTGCTTCTCTCCTCTTGGCTCCTGCCAGGGCTTTTTCCATCTGTTCTTCATCCTGGGCAAAGTGAGCTCTGTGGGAGCTGCTTATCGCAGCTGCTGCTTATCACAGCTGCTTATCACATGAGGACTGGTGCCAAACTGAGGGAGAGGGGTAGGGCAGGGGCTGCTTCATGGCTTTAAACCCTAAAAGTCTGTGCATTGGGGTGAGTTAAGTCTGGACACAGCTTAAAGGGATATTTTTATGTGGAAAATGTTTTGTTTGAAATGCAGTGTCATGTTTGTGGTTCTCACTTAGAAGGGGAAAAAAGTGATTAAATGCAACTTTGGCACAAGATCAAAGTGGTCATGTGATGTGGAACCTGGGTTTTCCCGGGGCTGGAGATAAGGGGTGTGGAGCAGAGAAGGTGTGAGGAGATAAGGAGTCAGAGGAACAACCTGAAGGTTTTCTCCATGAGATGTCCCAGGAAAGGTTGTGGTGTTCTGGAGACATGAGGGAGTGAGGTCAGGGATGGATAGGAAGGAAGATGAAGAGCTATTAAGCCTAAGGAAACATACCTGGGAAGTGACTGTTACTGAAGTGGCTTTCAGTGGAATAGCAGAGAAGGAGATGAAGGGAGGGAATGAACCATGGATTTGGTATTGGGAAGTATTAATTTGGACCTGAGGAGCAGCATTGCTCATATACTGTGGTTCTGGGAAAGTCCTGTTTGCTCCTCTTTGGGCCTCCATTAGGAATGTTTAGTTCTTGTCCAAAGTAGAGAATTCAAAGAATTAAGGAAGTTGTTTTCCCTGCAAGCCAAACTTTGGGATTAGTAGGCTTTTGGGAATTGAGGACGAGTGTTTAAAAAGAGGAAAGAAGGAGAAAAACTATCAGGGAAAAAAAAAAAGCCAGTGAGAATCTTCTTCCTAAGCAGAGAAAAGGGATATGAGAGCACGATTTGGGGAGACAGAAGGCAAAGATGCAGCAGTGGGTGACCAAAGGAGAGGAAGCTGGTCTGGTTTAGAGGATTTTTGTGTGTGTGGGACAAGGAGGAGGAAAAGTAGGATGGCAGCAAAATCTTTGTGTGTGGGGGGAGCCCAGTGGGACAGGAGTTCAGTGAGTAGGACTGTGCTGAGCTTTGGGAAATGAAAGGGGGAAAGGGAGAGGGAAAATGAAAAATAAACTGTTTTAATATCAGGTGTTGGAGGTAGCAATGCTGATAAATAAAACATAGGTCAGTTTTGTAGTTGGTGGCATATAGTAAACATAGGCTGGAGAGAGAGATGGCTGCAAGGGATGGGATGTTTCTGGGAAAGATGAGGAAAGAGGAAAAGCCCTACAGACACCTGAGAGTGTAGGAGAGCAGGAGAAGGATCAAAACACCCAACCTGGGAGGTGGGGAGAAAGCGAAGGTGAGAGTTCATTAGGAGTAGGAGATTGCCCAATTGGGTCCTGGTGAAGAACCACATGAAATGATTGAAAATTGGAGCTTTAAAGATTTCAGAGCCCTTTGATGTAGCTTGGAATGAAGCCACTGATGTTCTGTGTGCCGCCTGTGTTCTCAGGGATCCTTTTGCTGCCCACCATGAGCATATGAGGCAGATGCTGAGGGGCTTCTCGGAGCCCTTTGGAAGAGACCCATGGCTGAGCCTCACAGATGGAGCAGAGGGAACTCACCAGGACACACGGCTGGTCCCGAGGGGGCAGCGCAGGGTGAGTGTTCCTCAGCCTCCAAGGGTGCCACAGGGAGTTTATGGGGAAGCACAAGCCTAGCTCAGCCAGGGGAACCTCAGTTGGACTGTTTCATTGCTGAGTAAAATGGAATCATTCCTCTCTGGGTTCCTTACAGGTTGTGCCTGACCTCTGACCTGCTTCTGGTAGGGCTAAGTACACGTCTGTGTGACTGAACATAGAATACACAACATTTGGTCACGTACTGGAACATTGCCCATGGAGGTGGTGGAATCACCAGCCCTGATGGTGTTTAAGAGGTGTCTGGATCTGGTGCTGGAGGATATGGTTTAGGGGTTCCAGCAGTGCCAGGTTAATGGATGGACTTGATGATCTTAGAGGTCTCCTTCAACCTTGATTAATCTATTTTTACTGAACAAACTACGCATTTATCAAATGTTTGGGTTAATAAATATTTGTGTTAAGGGGTTGGAATGGAGCTTAGAGATCATCCTGTCCCAACCCCCTGCCCTGGGCAGGGACACCTCACACCAGAGCAGGCTGCTCAAGGCTTTAGCCAACCTGGCTTTGAACACTGCCAGGGTTGGGGCAGCCACAGCCTCCCTGGGCAACCTGTGCTAGTGTCTCACCACCCTGACAGGAAAACTTCCTCATATCTAGCCCAAATTTCCCTCTGTCAATGTATCCCCATTGCTCCTTGTCCTGCCCCTGGAGTTCATAACCAAGAGTCCCTCTGCAGCTTCCCTGGAGCCCCTTCAGCTCCTGGCAGGTTGCTCTGAGGTCTCCACACAACCTTCTCTTCTCCAGCCTCAACTCTCTCTAGATATAAGACTGTAAGAATTAAAGATCACAGAAATTGATATGAAATCCAGCATTTCTGTGTGTTCCCCAGTGAAACTGAGAAGTTGTTTTACACACAGTATATTTTTCAGCTCCCTGGGCATGCAGGGCAGCTCTATCTTATGCTCCTGGAGCTAAACATTATCTAATTGCTGTTTTTAGAGAGGATACACGTTGGAATGCTGTTCCTTTCCCTTCACCAGGCTAAATACTTAGCAGCTGCCTATCTCCTGCATTAATGAATCCCATTGGATTTTGAAAGGACCGTTGGAAGACAAAGGCAGATGACAAGAGCTAGTGGCACTAGGCCAGGTCTGGGGGTGCTTGGCCAAACCTAGATAGAGCTTAATAAGCAGAGCTGAAACCCGGACTGTCACCTGCAAGTCAAAAGGGGAGCTGTCAGATTCCTTCCTCCCTGCTCACACACTGCCAGTGTCAAATATAGCTGCTGCTGCTGCAGCTAATTAGGGCATGAGCTTCCCTCTCCTCATTCTTAGCCTTTGGTTCAGTGGGTGCCTTAAACCAAATCTGACTTCTGCCTTCAGAAAAAGAACATGTCAGACCTTACCTTTAAAGCTTAGGGGGTTGTGTCCCTGTTGTGGCAGTGAGGGGTGAATGTGAGGCCCAGTAAACCTTTCTGTGTTTGCAGCAAGAAGTTGAAGGCACAAGAGCTCTCTGTTAGGCTGGGAAGCACAAAAGATTTCCACACCTGCTGGAATCTCTCCAGGATCTTTTGTGTTCCTCATGTTCCACTGAAGAGGTGTCAGATGGCACAGAAAACTCAGGACTGATTACTTGCAGGAGTCTCAAACTGCTTTTACTGCTCCACAAATAACTTAAACACTTACAATTAGATATTTATGTAGGAAAAATGGATCTTTGCTGCCATGTAAAATACACTTCATTGAAATTACCCACACTGAGTGCTAGTGTTATTTAATTAAACTGTAGCAGGCCCAAAACTGCTTTAAAAGGAACAAAAGTTGTGGCAACAACTCCACGTGTCACTATAGCATTGCAATTTGAAACTGCTTCTCCTTTCTCCAGCAGGTTTGCAGTGTCAGTTGTTAAGAAAGGAGGAGGATTGGTATCTAAACCAAATGTTGTATCTGATTGTTCTCTCTGTTGGGCAAATACTTATCTGCCTTTTCTATGTATTAAACAAAGAGTTTATATATATTTTTTATGGCTAAACTTTGTTACTTGTGAGGATCTCCTTTTGTACTTGAAATAGGAAGAAATAGATACTCTCTTCTGTTAGTACCTCAGATATGTAACCTGAACGGTTCATAAAGGTATTCCAGAACTGGATAATTCCTTTTGTACTTCCAAGTTACCATGACGTGTTTGCTCCTTCTGCCTAACCACTCAGCCTGTAACCAGGCCTTTATCTAACCCTCCAGTCTGAGTTTCCTGGAAACACCCATGTGATTCCCAGCACTCAGTGCCCTGTCCCACAGGGATACTCAATATCCCTGGGTTTATATCCCTGTCTTTATAGCTGCATCTATTTATACAGCTGCAGAGAGACAGAACCTGCTCATGGCATTTGGCTTTGTGCAGGGGCAGAGATTTACCTACAACTCCTTGGAAGCTGCTTACAAGTTACACTTGATTTTGTTTATCACAAAGGATCTAGGGATATTTTAAAGAAATATCTTAATATTTACACTGCACTCCTGTAACACATAGGGATTTGGGAACAGCTTAGCTACATCACTGCATTTTTTTAAGCTCCATAATTGCATCCAACCTTCTCAAGTGTCATTATTACATAAATACACGTTAAAGGGACTTGATTTGTTGATTTTTTTGATCAGCTTTCAGTTGTGTTGCAGGGCTGGGATGAAACCTTTTCAGAGAAGCAGGAGATGCCTGAAGCACTGTGCCAGGTCCTAAATCCTTTCAGTACAGAGGTTGCTCTGGTAGAGAAATGTTTCTCAACCTCTAGCTTGAACTGCTGTTAGTACATACCTAGTAATATTAAATGTAGTGGCAGCTATCACTGTCTAATATTAGCATTAATATGATTATTTCTATACACCCAGACACTACTTCCTGTTATTAATTACCAGAGTCCTCCTGAGTCATTTCTTTACCTGGAAATATTTAATACCACCTGCTGTGTGTAAGAGTTACCTGTGCTGTGCCTGCTAACAGGTGTAATAATTAAAGGTCTTGCTCCTTTTTCTTCTAGGGAACAAGCTACTCCCTCATGCCCTTTGCAGGCTTTGGGAGACGGGTTAGTATCCCGGGAGTAACTATCCTTGTGACTCTGCTAGTCGGTGTATGCTGTGTGCATAGCCAAAGCATGGGCAGAGCCAGGCTCAGTGTGACTACAACCTGCTTCTGGTGCTGTTTGCAATGATATCAGCTAGGAAAATTATCCTTCCCTTTACTAAATCTCTGGATCTGGATGGGGTAATCCCTGGAGAGACTTCAAACCTTGAGCGTTGCCTGTGGGTGGACAGAGGCTTAGAGTGTGTGTGTTTGACCATAGCACTAAGAGAGCTTCTGGAGGCAGGATTCCCCCTGGGGCTGGGCTTGGAGTGGTCTTCAGCTGCTGAACTGTCTGGAAGAGGGGAAAACCAAATTTATGATGATCCTCATGAAGCTTTTTGCTCCCTTTGGAAGCCTTCAGAGCCCTCAGATAGCACTGCAGTAGCTCAGAGTGGCTCTCACTTGCAGAGCACATAAACCCAAGTACTGCTTGGTTAATTATCTCTTCCAGAGCCACAAATTGGCATTTTTTTGCTATTAGCTGCACAGGTTGTGGTTTTCCTCCCCTCATGACATGTAATTCCATAGCAACAGCTGATTCCTGTGTAATGGCAGCATTCCACATCCACATTTCTACCTGTAGAAGGTGATTTTGGGGGAGTTCTTGCCCTTTGTCGTGCTTTGATGCCCTGAATTGTGTATAATTACTGCTCAGAGGTTTTGATAACCCTTATGGTTTCAATTTCTTGCTGCTCAAGAAACTTAAGGAAGATTTTCTCTACCTGAATGTTACTTAGTTTCGGGCTTAAACTGCTGATTTCATTTTTCAGCTTTAAAATTAATTTCTTTAAGGCATGAAGGGTCATACAGTACATTTTGGAGCAGAAGCTGGTGAGGTTAGAGGATAGGTAAAAATAATTTGTGTAAAATAAACTTGTATTATAGCCAATTTGAGTGTCATCTTTCACTTCCAGTTTTCCAGTATCTTCAACTAACCAAGCTCCTCAGTTTTCCTTGGAAAAGCTGCATTGTGGCTTGTTTGTGTGTGTGAACTGCAGGCTGAAAACCCTTTTTGTGATTTGTCTGACTTGCACTAAAAATGCATGTGAAAAACAGCTCCAGAACTGGAAGGGTCAGAAATTGTGTTCTCATTGTGATGTTTCCCACAGGATGCAGATTTTGGGGATCCATTTTCTGCAATGGACAGGATGATGTCAACCATGAGGAACAGCATGCTGGAAATGCAGAGGAAATTTGTGAGTTCTTTGTTAAATTGTTCTTAAATTAATTGTATTGGAAAGTGATAGTTATTTGCAGTATTGCTCTGGAAATAATGCTAAGGAAAATGTTACTAACCTCATGGAAACAGTGAAAATTTATGGGGTTTTTGCCCAGAATATATTGTGGTTATTGTTTTTCTTCAGTCTTTGAAGCTAAAACTGCTAGTGTTGCCCAACTGCCCATATCTGTGGTACCAGGAGGGTTAATTTGTCAGAGGGATATTTGTGTCCATAATAAAACAGCCTCAGAATGTCAGACAAAACTATAATCCACACCTTTTAACCTATGTTAATGTCTGCCTTTTCCTGCAGGATGACCTGTCCTTCCACCCAGATGCTCACACATTCAGCTCCTCCTCTGTGATGACGTACTCCAAAGTAGGGGATGAACCTCCAAAGGTTTTCCAGGCCTCAACCCAGACCCGCACGGCCCCGGGAGGGGTAAGTAGTGCTGAGAGCCAGCCCAAGGGTGCTGTGCAGGGATCACAATGAGGCTCAGCTCTACCAAACCAGTTTCCTTCAGGTTCTTTTTCCTGGAGACAGTTAGTCTCTAATTTACAGAATCACAGAGTCATTTAGGTTGGGAAATACCTCCAAGATTGAGTCCAACCTGTGACCCATCGCTGTCTTGGCAACTGGCCTAAAGCACTAAGTGCTATGTCTAGTTGTTCCTTGAACTCCAACGAGAGTGACTCCACCACCTCCCTGGACAGCACATTTCAATGTTTGACAACCTTTTCCATGAAGGAATTCCTCCTGTTGTCCAACCTGAACTTGCCCTGGCACAGCTTGAGGCCATTCCCTCTCCAATCCTGTCCCTTGTTCCCTGGGAGCAGAGCTACAAGGAAAATTGAAAAATTCAGGCAAATATTTGTCACTGCTCTATATTTACTATATTAAAGGCTTCTTCAAGTGCTGTTTTCCTCCTTGTCATTTATACACTCTAAGTATACACCTAAGTAAATGATACACCTATCCCAGACTGGAAACAGAGTGCCAGAACAGCTGATCTTTAAGACAATCTGTAACACCATTCCATTTGCTATATTAATCCCTTTCTTGCCCTTTCAACCCCCAAGAAAGAGCCTATTAATGCCCAACATGCCTTCAAACCCTCCCTTTGTTCAGGCACCTCATAACCCTCAGCTGGAGCTGCTCTTTCAGCAGCTTCCTCACAGCTGTTGTGTCTCATTCTGCTGAGAAGTTTGAATTTGAATTTAAACCTTGCAGCAGAGGTCATGAAAGACTAGAAGTGAGCCCTAAAGGCTGTGGCTGGCTGGGGCTGTGCTCAAGCTCAGGCAGACACTCAGTTATCAGGAGGATGCTAATAATACCCCATGAACACAGTGCTAAGTGGTTGCTTGAGTTTCAAGCCAGTCAACACCACAACCTAATAGTTAGTTGTCCCTTCACACTGGGAATTCTGGTGTAGTATAGTTAGGATTATTTTCCCCACAGTATTTAATAACCAGTTAAGCTTTAGGTATTCAATCTTCTTGTCTGTTAGTAAAGAGAAAAGAGATTGGATTTGTGTTTTGTTGGTGTATTTTCAGCCAACACAGGAAATGGGATAGTGGGAAAAGCCTGTGAAACCTGATTTTTTTAAAGGAAATACATAAAATATTTGTGGAAGAAAATAACTCTTCACAAGGGCCTCAGGGGACAGGACAAGGGGAATGGGATCACACTGCCAGAGGGTTAGATGGGCTATTGGGAAGGAATTCCTGGCTGTGAGGGTGCTGAGGCAGTAGCACAGGTTGCCCAGAGAAGCTGTGGCTGCTCATCCCTGGGAGTGTTCCAGGCCAGGCTGGATGGGGCTTGGAGCAACCTGGGCTAGTGGAAGGTGTCCCTGTCCATGATGAAACTGGATGGCCTTTAAGGTCCTTCCAACCCAAACCACTCTGTGACCCTATGATCTATTTTAACTTCTTTTTTGATTGGAAGGACACTTATTTCCCTGTTTTTTTTGTGCAGGTTAAGGAGACAAAGAAAGCACTGAAGGACTCTGAAAGTGGCCTGGAGAAAATGGCCATCGGTCACCACCTTCATGACAGAGCTCATGTCATTCAGAAATCCAAGAACACCAAGACTGGTGATGAAGAAATGAACCAAGAATTCATCAACCTGGATGAAAGTATGTCTTTATGTCTAAATAGACTGTCTTTTTAGGCAGTTTTTTACACTATTTCACAGTTTAATCTTGAAGCTCCAACTTGAGTCATCTTAAAAGAGACTTTTCAGACAGGCTAAAAGTTTCCAAGTTCTCTTTTTACAGATTCCCCCAAAACATTGTGGAGAATCATGAACCACAAATCTAATACCACTACTCAAACTCCCTAATATCCTATCCACAATATGTTTTCTCCTATTTTATTGCCGATAACAAGTCAACTCTATTTTCCAGGTGATGCTCAGACCTTTGATGAGGAGTGGCAGAAAGAAGTGATGAAGTTCAGACCATCCAGAGCCAGAAGCGCTTTAGAAGCTCCAAAACACAAAAGTATCCACCACATGCCCAAGGAAGATGGAGCAAGAAGGTAAAAGTAATTTCCTTGAATAAGGAAATTCCAGCAGAGAAAGAATACCTGGAGCAATGTTCATGGACAGCCAGTCCTGGCATGTTTGAGCCCTTCTTTCTCCTGCTGATGGTTGTTGTCTGTTCCAGGGAGAAGCCTCGTGCCATCACTGGTCCCAGAGATTCCTTGGAGAACCTCGGTGTGAAAGGAACACATGTCCCCACCAAAAGCAGCAGGAAATAACTGACCTCCTTTCCCCCTTGGAATGGAGTTTCCCTGGAGCAGCTAGTGGTGCTGCAGTGCTAATGTCCATACAAATACACCTGGAGAGATGACCAAGCTCTGTTCTGTGTTGTGCCTTTTTCCTCCTGACAGCTGAAAGGTCTCCAACCTTCAGCTCCTATGCTAAATCCCCTTGTTTCTGGGAATTACAAACCCAACAACTTTCTGCCTAAAAGCACTTTAATGGGTTAGCACTAATTCTGCTCCAAAAAAAGCTTGGAATTGCAGAGTTTTCCTGCTCCAATTGCACCAGGCTCAGCCCTCACTACGCCTGGGAGTGAAGCTGCTTTCTCCTATGCTCTATCTTGTACAGAGAGGAAATTCTCTTTATTGTGTGTGGCTGAAATAATTAGTGATTTTTAGGTGCCAGAGCAATTAATACGATTTGAATACTCCATAGCTTGAAAATCATACTCTAAATTGCTATAGAATCCTCAGATTCACCTTTGATGTGGAGAAAAGTGAGAGGAAATACTTAAATGATAAGAACTCTAAACAAGTTTGGGTTTATCAGTGGTTTTGTGTTCGTAAGCTAATTTTCTGTGCCTGAACTGTCCATTTTGTCCTTCTGATCCTTTGCCTGTTTATTTTGAAGTTGGCTTATCATTTTTTCCCTCTTGAGGATTGTCTGTAGTAGCTTTTGATTATCCTGTAGGAATCTCAGTGTGTCCTCAAGGAATCAGTTGCAACTATTAGTTATTAATGGGGAAAATGTGGGATAAATGAGTTTAACTGGAACAATTTTACCAGTTGTTTTGTTTTAAGGCAGCAGAGCTGCATTTCCCCCAGCTGAGATGTTTGTGTTTTTTGTGTTTTGTAGAGTGATCCTAAATCCACATTTGATTTCCCTTGATGATGTTGTTTGAGTCTGATGTTCTGGAAAAGCCTAACAGGAGAGTCCTTGTATTCCAGGTGTTAAGTCCATGTGCTGTTTTGTCACACAGAATTATCCCTGTATGAATTTCTGTAAATAACCTTTACAGCATCACATAAATCCAAGGCTACATTACAGTGCAGCCTTAAGTAGCTGTTATGATGATAAAGTAGGTTAGTAAGTTAAGAGTAATATTTGGCCAAAAAGCCTTTAAGTCATGTTTAATCTTCCTGCAGTTTTCCCAGATTATTTAATTTTCATTAAATCATGTGTTTAATAATGTGCAAAAATAATTTACAGCACTTTTGATTGATTTTTTGGAGGGAAAGGCAATAATTTGCTTGTTCAGTGCAGTGATCTCTTCCTGCTTTAGAGCAGATACTAGTGGCAATAAGTTCATGTGAGCAATGTTAGTGACAGTAAGTGATGCTGAGGAGGAGGTAAGTGAGGGGTCAGGGGCAGAAGGACAGGATCAAGCTGTGATGTCCCAGGATATCCTCCAAAACCTAAAGGATGCTTAGACACCCCTTGGGAAACACAATCCAGGCCCTGATTTTCCATACACTGAAGACAACAACACTGATTTTGCAATTCAGTTAATGGACAGTCTGAGGCCGTTGGAGGCATTTTCCAAGTATGTCACTCAGTCTTCCCAGGAATTAACAGCAGCAAAGTTTCCCATGTTGGAACTTGAAAGGAATTTGAAAGGAATTCACCTGACAACGTGGATTTTTGGCTGAGAGAAACCCCACGATCCAGACACTGAATAATAAAAGAAGCACATCCTTTGGGTTTTGGAATTAGGAAGAGGCAAATATTCATCACTTGGTTCTGCAGAGAATGTTCTGGGCTGTAATGCACAACAAGTTCTGTGTAGAAGCATCTGAAACTGCAATTCTCTAATAAAGTTATTTATTATTTATGGCGTTGGTTTGGCTTCTTCTGCACCACAGAGTGACTTGAATTGTTTGTTTGGGGCTGCTTTGGGACACTCTTATATGTGGCACCAACAGCAACACAACATGGTCAGCCTGGGCTGGGGGAAGGTGATCAACATCATGGACACAGCAGGTGACAGCAGCACCTCAGGAGTGCTGATCCTTCATGGATACAGGGAACATGGTGCATCTCTGTGGGGCTTGTGCTAGGACAAGGAGTGATGGGAACCCTTAAATCATATCCTCCAGCACCAGATCCAGATGCCTCTTAAACACCTCCAGGGATGGTGACTCCACCACCTCCCTGGACAATATTCCAGTGCCTGAACACCCTGACAGGGAAAACATTTCTCCCAATATCTAACCTGACTCTCCCTTGTCTCAGTTTATGGCCATTCCCTTTTCCCTGCAGTTCTGACCCCTCCTTTGTACGGGGAGCTCCACTCATCAGTTATTTCTAATTACCAATCATTAAACTCCAGCTGCATGTCACACACCATTCTCCTAAGCCTCATGGGATGCTGTTACCCTTTTCTCTACAGTTCTGACCCCTCCTAGAATCACAGAACCAACCAGGTTGGAAGAGACCTCAAAGATCATCGAGTCCAACCCTACCGTGGTTACTAGACCATGGCACTAAATGCCACATCCAGTGATGAAACCCTCCAGGGACGGTGAATCCACCACCTCCCTGGGCAGCCCATTCCAATGCCTGATCACTCTCTCTGTAAAAAATCTCTTCCTAATATCCAACCTAAACCTCCCCTGGCAGAGCTTGAGTCTGTGCCCTCTTGTCCTCCTGTCTGCGAGAAGAGACCAACTCTCCATCGCAGAGGCAGCGCTGCCCTCGCTTCTCATGAACAGCTCCTAACCCCCAGTTGTGCCTCTCTGGGGCGACCTCACACCTCCTCCCAGCGCTCTTTTGGGGTGAAATCCGTGCATTTCCCCGCTCAGCCCCAGCCACCCCCGGGTACCGCCAGCTCCCCAGGAAACACTGGTGAGCGCCGGGACGGGACGAGCCCTGTGTGCCCATCTCCCCCGGAGCTCCGCGCAGCCCTCAGGGACAGCCCCGA